GTTAATCAGCCAGCTCACCTCTTACATAAGATGAAGTCTCAGCTTTAATTTCAATTTAAAGGCTTTATTTCCCCAGGAAAAAGGGCACTACATGGCAACATTAACTGCAGTATAATAATGAACATAAAGTTTATGTTTTATAGATAATTCAAAAATACAGAGCAATTTAAATCACTGTAAATTGGCCAGTACAAATGAGTATTGTACCACTTCAGTTAGTGGTTTTGCAATAATTCAGGACATTTCTATTCAATCCAAGCTTATCACTAATAATACAAACACATAGACATTATTAAGRTGATGCTATCCCATTCCTTCATATATATTTCCGTTTATTTTTTAGTGGGTTGATCTCTGGTGCAGTCATCTTGACCAGCTGCATTCGACCTTTGATATTAGTCTGAAGTAAATGAACTACCTGTTTAAGTCGGAATGATTTCGGTTCAGCCACTTTCTGACAAAAATTGCTTTGTGTGAAGTGATTGAATTTGAGAAGTGCCCATTTGCATTGGAAATAATGTTCTTCTCTATCTATCTATAGCTAAACAGATCAAGTTCTGGGAAAAATGAGGAAAAGAAAGGGAATAAGGGAAATGGGAAAAGTGAATCTTCTGAAGGTGGAAAGACAGCCGTGGTGTTTTCCTTGAAGAACGAAGTTGGTGGGTTGGTGAAAGCTCTCCGGCTCTTCCAGGTAAACCCTACAAATGACTATGCTACGTAGATTGAGGGAGGATATTCAAGATAAGGTTGCTTGCAGCTCTAAATTATTGGACCTTGATGGGAGGAATGGAGTTCTTGTTCACTTTTGTAGGGTGTAGCTCCAAATCTAGTGGACCATTCAGCAGAGCTTTTGGGGCTCGGGAAGAGTTTCCTGGAATCGCCTTTGACAGCAGTGCTCATGTTCATACCAGTGACTTGAGATTTCCAAAGAGTGATTCTCAGCAGTTTGAATTAGAGCTGGAATTCCCTGTTTGACCATATAATGAAGACGCATTTTCAGAGGAAAATAGAGAATATCAAAGTCAGATGCTCAAAATGCCAGGAATAGGTCATCCTATTCTACTTAATAGTAGAACTATTACTAAAGTTCTAAATATCTAAATATGTAAAGTACTRAAGTTCTTTAGTAGAACTTCTACCAAAATAATTCTGCTTGCTCTCATTTGAATCTGCTATTTTACAAACAGCATGTACGAAGTTGAGGTTTTTCCTTCTTTGACTTGGTTATGAGGGCAGGTTAGCTAAGGATATTTACCTCCTACATCGACTGTGGAGGTGGCCACTGAAGAATTAGATACTGCATAAATTACCTGGGGTGTAAAATGAGAGTGKTAGTTGGTTGTACCAGAGGGAACTTTCAACTGGAACGAGATATATCAGGCAAGTGAAAATACAAGCACWGGCTTCTCCCCTTTTGGGAAGTCAAAAAGACTTTATTTGCACTGTTGAGCAGGTGGAGAGAAAAGTCATCAAAAGTAATGGAGTTTGTGGCTGGAGGAGAAAAAAAGGTAAAATCAATCAATAAAAGTGTTGGTAGAAAGCAGTCATCTAGTCCAGTCTCCTATTTGAAACAAGATAAACTTGCAGGACTAGTTAAGCATAACTAGCTGTTAGTTAGTTAGTTAGTTTTAACACACTATGGCTGTCTCTTGTATGACACTCTTTGGAGACCGATAGCTCTGATGGGAGAGAGACCCTGCAGGAAAGTTTTTGTGATAAAAACTATTTTCATATCCAAGTACACCTTTGTGTACCCTAGTTCTTAAGGGGTAATGATAATAAATTGAAGCAGATATTCATTTTATTTCTGTTATCACTTGTGGTTATTCAGACCTGAACTGAAATATAATTATCCTCACAAAAACATTTTCTTATGCAAGTGTTGGCAAAAGATACTGAAGTATTGCATTTCAAATAGTGTCTATTTACTTGAACACATTACAATTCAGTTAAATTAGCATTATGATCATGCACATTGCCTAATAAAATTACATTTTATGTTTATAGCAAAGCAGTTCTTTTCTTTCTAGTGATTGGAATGTTACATTGTCTTTTGCCTTCATAAATAAATTTAAATCATCAGTTAATAGTATTACATTTATTTAATGGCAAAAGTTATTTTTAATTCAGTGTACTTTTTTTTTTTGTCTTTAAATCTATTAATGCTAATTAAGTGAGCGGGTATATATGCAAGTACTTTTTAGTAAAAACTTTTAGTAACTGGGGAGGTCTTTCCTGAGGAACATGCCACCTGTGTTGGTGTTCCAGATGCGGCGCCCGTATTGCAGCCCTTGTTGCCTCTCTCCACAGGAGAAGCATGTGAGTATGGTTCATATTGAATCACGAAAATCCAAGCGAAGGAGCTCAGAGGTCGAAATTTTTGTGGACTGTGACTGCAGTAAGAAAGAATTTAATGAACTAATCCAGCTGCTCAAGTTTCAGACCAACATCGTGTCCCTCAACCCACCAGAAAACATCTGGACTGACGAGGAAGGCAAGGCTGCTTTTACATCACTCCATTTAGACACTGCCAAAGGTTTTGCACAGGTGTCTCGGTGACACCAGCCCTCACATTGAACTCACATTCTGTCTTCTGCAGATCTCGACTGYGTCCCCTGGTTCCCCCGGAAGATAGCTGAGTTAGACAAATGCTCACAGAGAGTTTTGATGTATGGATCTGAGCTGGATGCAGATCACCCCGTAAGTGTGACGTGAAACTGTATTGTAGATAATATGCTTTGTTTATTTAGTTAGTCAAATAAGAAGTCTCTTCACTACTGATTTTTTGAGTATATGGTTTTCAGAAGGTGCAAACTTGTAAATTCTTTAATGTTTTCAGTGATTTATATATACATTTTCTGTTATGGCATATGAAAGAAGAGGTCTTCTGCTAAAATTGCAGTTCAGCAACTGGATTCCCATCTGTACTTGCTTTCACTTATTTGTTTTTAATTAGCTGGTTGATCCTTTCAGACTCCAAAGAATTTGGATCAGTGTGACCTTCGGTTCTGTCACAAGCAGAGAGAATATTAGATATCAGTATAGGTGTCAGAGAAAAAAGAAGGAAGGAAGACTTTCTCAACACTCTGGAGATGATTAGAAAACAAAACAGTGCTTACAGGTTCCTGATTCTGCATTTATGCAGCACTTGGCAAGGTGTCTTGCCAAGTTTTCTGACACCAGCACCAGGAAGCAGGTCTGCGTTTCACACGAGCCATATACTGCAGTAGTGTTGCACTAGTGTCCATGTCCTCAATGCAGAAGGTGATAAGAGATCCTCTTTTCTTCTTTTTTTTTTTTCTTTCTTTCTCTTTGTTTGTCTCTGTTAATGCTTAACCTTTGAGTCTTTAGGTGGTAGATGACTTCAGGAATTTGTGTTAGAACATGTTTGCTTCTTGCAAATTGAAGGTTCCACTTTTGGACCCCACGGCCGAAAGTTACTGATGGAACTTTCGTTCCTATTCCAAAGTAAAGGAAGTTGGGTTCTGGAAGGAAACTTCCAGGAGCAAGTAGTAAGCAATGAACTAATATTAATATTAGAACTAATATTCCTGACTATACGTATCTGTTTTGTAGTAGAAAAAGATTTGAATGAAGCGTTAGGTGTCAGTCTCCTCTTTTTTTAATTAATAGTAATATTTTGTCCAACACAGTGGAAAATGGCCCTGAAGAAATGGTAGCTGACTCCRGAGAGATCACTGCAGCATGAGGGACAGTGTGGTGGTGTGTCTGTGCTGTACCCCGGTATGGCAGGGCCTGTACAGCCTCTTTCTTGGGGTTGCCCTGGCTGAGGAGAGGCCAGTGCTCCTGCTGGCCTTGCCTTAGTCCCCTCTGGGCAGTGCAGAAATGGCAGTCAAGCTTTGGGAGCTGCTGTGGCCCGAGCAGCCGCTCACCGTGCCCACGTGGGCAACGTGACAGCTTATGCTGGCCCTCGTGATGTCCCGTGGGAGCCCCCCTTCCCTGTCCCTGCTGACACCCCTCTGCCATCTCGGGCCCCTGGGTGCTCTTCTTGCTTCCCAGCCACCTATAGCCCGTGCCAGCCCTTCTCACGCCGTGGCCTCCCTTGCTGAGGGGAGCACGTGCCTGCATCCTCATTCCTGACGTGTGCTTCTTGATGACAAACTGGGATTTACCTARCAGTTTCTCAGAATGGAAAACTGCTGATTACCTTCAACCATTATCAGTWATTTGGTTCAAAGAGTGGCATTTCAGTCTTAATGGCAACTCATTGTAGCCTTGAGTTGATGATTGCGATGGGCGATTTGATACTGCTTTATGTTCTGCGCTGGTGCCTTCATTAAATACTTGAATGCGCTGCCGAAAATCTGCTTTCTGTTTTATAGACAATGAAAAAAGAGATTTGCATTATGTGAATATATATTTTACACTTGGGGGAACTCTTATAAACGTAATTTACACACCATTTGTTATCCTATGCTGCATACTAGGTATTGAAGATGGGGAAAAACTATAAAAACTGCAGTTGGCCTCGCAGAGCCCAGCTCTGGTGCCTGCCCTGTCCCTTAGGGATTGCATGTAGATGCCAGAGGGCCAAAGACTTATCTTATTGTAGAACCAGCCTAGCAGCACCTGACACTCTCTGTGCTGGTTAATGGTTCCAGGCTCAGTTTCATTACATACGACAGACTTTTAAATCTCCTGTGCTGTCCCTCATGCCTTTTGGTCTAGTGAGTGGTCTGCGGCTGAGTCATTCACTGCTTATGTCAAAAGGTATTAAGCAGACTAGGAGACTTCCAAACATTTCAGTAACTTATTTGCCAAAAAGCTTTTACGTGTAGGCAGCTTTCATTGTAGCTTGTCATTGACCAGCAGCTGATCTCGTTATAGGTATGGAGAGCAAGCCCGTAGCCAGGTGGATGCCAAGGAGGGAGAAAGGACCTCTAGTACTTGAAGGATGCGATAAGGCCTCTGCTCTCCCTGGCTGAGAGGGGAGGTTTGGAGGCTTTCTGCAGCCTTTCTGTGTTCTCATTTGGTCTGCCCCAGCAGCACAGCCTCTGTTACAGGGCAGCTCCACCACCTCTCAGAATTTCCTCAAGTTCATGCAAACCTTTTCAATTGGAAGACRTTATCTTTTCATTCCCTTCAGTGGTTTGTATTTGTGCATGTGAGCAATAAGGGGAAAACGTCTTTTACTTCCTATTTGTGGCTAAGGGAAGCTTAAATGCTATTGTATGGAACTTACTTAGCCATTTASCCTTTTCAGGAGGTCAGCAGTCCTTTCTTGAAAATAGACAGCTCTTTTGCAGCCCAAACCTGAAGCGTCTAAATCTTTTATAGATCTAGAAGAGATCTTGTTTTAGAGATCTTTGGGAGATCTCTATTCAGAGAGACCTCTGAAGAGCTGACAGGGCTGCAAGTGACTGGTGTTTGTGCACATGTTGTGGTATAGGTCCTTTGGACTTCATATGCAAAGAGTATGAGCCTGCTGGAGCCCATGGGGTAGAGCCCTGCCTCTGTCCCAGCAACTGGAGTAATGTGAATATTTCCTGCCAGAAGCTTGAGCCACCACTCAGCCCCTGAGGTGTTAGCTAAGGTGGCAGCTGCCCAAGCAGCATCTTGGCTTTGTTTCTGAACTTGGGGCACTTGAGTGTCCTAGTGATGAAAGGGGCATAAGGATTAAGTCAATTATTTTGCTTTGTGGCTGTGTGTAGGTCTCCATCCAGGTCAAGGAAAATTTGAGTGAGATGAATGGCAAGAAAAAAAAAATGCTAATTTTCAGCACTTTGGATGATTGCCTGAACCTGTGCACCAGCCTGCCCTGAAATTACTGCCGTGGTGGAAAAAAGCTCTAATGTATCTTCTCTTACAGTCCAGTAGATGACGTTAATCAGAATAGAATATAATTAGGCACTAAATAAACACTTTAATGATTTATTTTTCAGTTCTTACAGCTAATTGTCTGTCTTTATTATAAATTAATCTCTTCTCTTGCTTAAGGGATTCAAAGACAACGTCTATCGACAGAGAAGAAAATACTTTGTGGATGTTGCCATGAGCTATAAATAGTAAGTACTATTATAATTTTCCCCTGTGCTGCTGACTAGTTAGAATTCACACTGTGCTTAATTCTGTAGGAAAAAGTTTTGCAGTTGAGAAAGTGAGCCTGTAAACTTCAACAGATTTAGCGTAGGGTACTTGACAAACTTAATGCTTGCAATCCTGTTACAAACTCAGAGCAAATACAGGCAAGTAAAGAATTAGAAAGGTAAGTAAAGCTTTTAAACGTTTATGCTTCATAGCTACTTAAGCTTAAGAAGCTGTTTTGCAAATGCAAAGTGTGGTGTCTTCATGGCAAACTGGTGTACCACAGAGTCATATCGTGTAGGGAAATATCCAGTGTCCCTACTGGGCTAGAGTCTGGTCACAGAACACCGAATTGCTAGTCGAAACAAAATTGTGCCCCTTGTGACAAGAATGTGAACAGGAACATATTTATCTGGAACGGTGCCCAGGAAAAGTGTTGTACATAGAGTGCATCATGTGTCCCCTACTGTTCAGACAAGCTTGGTTTTTAAGTGAATCCCATTCCTGCCAAAGTCAGACCAGGACAYGAGTCCTGGGGATGTTCAGAGTCCCAGAAACTACCTGTTGACTAAGGGCGAGCTCCTTGGGGTAGGAGCAACAGGATCCTGCATATGTAACACACACAGTGCAGAGAAACGAGGGAAAAGGGAGGAAAATGTCCTGCTGTACAGGCCACASGAGGTAAGGAACAGCATTTGAGTCCTCGACAAAGGAATTTTTGCTCCTAGTTTTATTACTAGGATGAGCTCTGATTACTGAAGTGAGTACATGATCCATACATTCCTAACCTCAAAATGGTCTGTGACTAAAGGAATTTCTTTGGCGCTAGGGTGTGATGGGCACCCTGAAAGAGTGTGGAAACTCTGGGTATTTTTTATATGTGGTGTTTTGTGAAAAATCCCTGAGTTAGTATCACGGTGCAATTGTGGTTAGAAATTTTTCTTTTAATTCCAAAAGGCCTGGGAGAAGTAGCTGTCCCCATGACATATTTCAATATATATTTGTGCTTTTTTCCCCCACTTTGGTAGTTCCCACAGAGCCAGTAGACTTTGAGCCTCAACTTTCAGACTGAAGCCTGAAAGTCTACTTTGATTTTTGTTTGCTCTTTAATGAGGAGAGTATCTCTGAGTTTAGGAAAGAACTCATAGGATGCCAGGGTTTGATCTGAAACTAGGAGAACTGTAGTTAGACAAACTCACTAGAGAAGGACATTATTATTTTTCTTTTCATTTTCTTCATACACTGTATACTGCAGAAAGCCTTTTGTTAATTTGGCCAATACAGTTTTAAACTTATCATAATTTGGTGAGTGGATTTTTTTCTGTAGTTATTGTGCTGATGTGTGAACACGGATACAGTGCACATTTTTTCTCGCTGAATTTTATCTTTCCAGATCAAGCCAGTATTTCCTGTTTGTTACCATCCCTGGAGGTTAGGAAACTTTCTGCCCTACATACAAATACCCACTGTGTTGTAATTTTCTTGTCACATAAGCATTCAATTAACTCCAGTCATACTCTTAGTTTTATTTGTAACAGGCCAAAGACCTCATTTTCAAGGGAAAGAACATATTAATGTCATGTTCTTTTCAATCTATACCATGCTTTTCAGATTTTTTCATTCTTCTCTTGAGATTTCTACCTACGTTGTTTAACAAAATATAAAAGACAGCATTTTTTTTTTTCCTTCATAAAAGGCCTATCTTAGCAGGACGAAACTCAAAACGCCTTTGTAAAGGTTATGTGGTTCTGCTTTGCTGATATTTATGATGAAACTAATATGTGGGCTGAGGAAGGCTGGGGGGCAGAAAGATAAACTCTGCATTGTGACCGTAAATGTAATTTAGCTCATGGAGGAGCCGGTGCTTTTGCTGTTTCTGCTGGCCATGATGGTGAATTCGGAATAAATTTGGATGTCCTGACAGTACCGTGTGGTCTTGTCAGAGTCTTCTCTGGTCTAATGACTCTTCACTTATTTATATGAAAAAAGAGCAAGCTTTGGCAGGGGATGCTGAGAGTGCTTCCCCCAGGGTAGCTGAGGATGCTGTGTCATAAGGACTGCTGCCTTGGAGAGCAAATTCAGAGCAGCCTCTTGTATCTCTGTGTCTCACATCCTCGGCCAGCGACCTACCTAGTCATTAACTGAGATCTGATGCGCTTAACCTTTCCATTTTCCAGTGTGTTTAAACAAACAAACAAACAAAACCCTCAGCTCTTTTAAAGAATAATGAGGAGATTTGCCTATAAAGAATTAGCTCTGTCAAAAGATGCTGAGTGGAAAAGTCCCCGATTGGTGTTTCCCTAATGAATTCCTGTTGTTGGGTAGCAGCAGACRTTCTGCTTTGGTTGAACATAGAGAGGCCTCCCCAGCGGGGAGAGGGAGGGAGAGAGAAATACAGGGAGAAGTGAGGCTGGAGAATCAGGGATTTGCCGTTAAAGGGAAAGAGATGCTCGTAAAGCACAGCACTGAGAATCAGCTGTATGAAAGAAGTGGACCAAAAATAAATGTTCCTCCCTGCTTTGCTTAATTTCTATCTTGAAGTTAGTGAAAATGTGTTAATCTTGCTAATTAGGCCTTTGAGACTGATTAGGGATTGCAAAAGTGTGGTGAAGATTAAAGCAGGAGGAGAAATACAAGGTTTATAGAGAGAATTTATAATGTGCCTTGATAACTTGTGACTGTGGCAAAATGGAAAGACCCTGTTTTAATAAGGGGAAATAAAAATCAGGTTAGGTTGGACTGAAGAGTCTACTTATTGAGCCACAAAATGAGGAAAAAAATGTGGATCAAAGTACTTTGATATAGTGAAAGGCAGGGGGGTTAAATAGTTGGTTTTCAATAAAGACAAGGGGGGAAATGCTGAGATTGGGCAAAGGCTCTTCTCACATGCACATGCAATTGTGTGACTTGAGAGCTCATTCTTTTTACATCCTTAACACTTGTGTTGATCTGTGCTTGGTTGGGTCTRGGACAGGAGAAGGATTCCGGAGGAGAAGGCAGGTTACATACAACAGGTTGTGAACATTAAATCTAGAGGAAGATTATAAGTTTCTAGGGCTTATTCATTGGGTGCATTGATGGCTTCTGGGCATGGCACAGGAGAGCCCATGCAGTTAAACACAAAGCAGTGCAAATTGGCAGGGTCCCTTCCCACTTTCACACAGTCATCTTAAATTAACTGCAACCACTTGGAGCAAATCTGAGATGTCAGAGACAGATTAGCAGGCAAGGAGGCATCTTGGAAGACACCTGCTTTGCAGTTCCTATGMGTCTGTGTAAGGGGGAGGAATTGTGGAGAAGGGAAAAAAGAAAAGATGGATGGATCCAGAGGCTTACAGTTGTATAGGAGAGGCTGTTGGCTGTGAGATGAGCTTCCTCGTGATGTAAATCTGGGGTTATGAACCTGTGTTCAAATCTTGAATGACTTATGTACAACGCACCAGTGGTGACTCTGATATAACAACACTGTATGGTATGAGAAGCCCATCTTCTACTGTGATAGATAAAAAAATTAACAAAATAATTTTGCTTTTTAATAAGAAATAAATTATAAAGAAATAATTGTTATTGTACAATATAGAGATCATTTAAAAAAGTAGAAAAAATCTTAACTTTTAAAAATTTAAATTTTTAAAAATCTTAATTTTTTAAATTTTAAATTCTTAAGTAACACTTATTATAGATATTTTGCCATCTAAGGTCAGTCTAGAGTCTTGCTTGTGCTCTGACATGTTTTTGTATTATTTTATATTTTTCTTACAGTGGTCAACCCATTCCCAGAGTGGAGTATACAGCTGAGGAAATTAAAACATGGGGTGTGGTTTTTAGGGAACTCAGTAAACTCTATCCCACCCAYGCGTGTCGTGAATATTTAAAAAACTTTCCTCTGCTGACTAAGTACTGTGGATATAGAGAAGATAATGTGCCTCAGCTGGAAGATGTTTCCGTTTTTCTTAAAGGTAAGACATTTTGCTTCATCAGTAGAGATATGGTTTAATGAAAATATCTTTTCCACAAGTAAGTGAAGAATGAATTTGGGAGAGAAATGTCCTTTTCAAAGTCACTGAGTTTGAAATAATTTTCTATTGGGGCTAATCTGACAAAGGAATGTTTTGTTAAGTATTTAAATGAGTATCTCAGATATGTTATTTTACTGTCACAAGACAGTATTTTATCTGTAAAAYTTGTGACATATTTGGCTTAATCCTCTTCTGTTAGCTTGTGGTGTTTTTACAGAAATCATCTTCTGGTTTGGAAACGTCTCTCCTGTTTGGTACCCGACAAGAAAGCCAGATACTTTGATTTGAGAGCATCACTTATGTACACTCTTATCTTCTCTAGATAAAGTTAATTATTTTATAAAGCTATTAAAACAGACTTTTGATTACTTCAAACTGTTTTATTGAACATACATTAGCCATGCAAAACARTTCTTGTACATAGTAGGTGTAAGTTACATACGGTTGACCTTCAGCCAATGTTTTTTGGTGTCATGCTTCTGATGGAGCAATTAAGTACAGATCGTTACTTGTCCTCAGGAYTGGATGTAGAGGTACTTCTGATGGTCATAATCTGCTCTTTATCTCCTTCATTTCAGAAAGGTCTGGTTTCACAGTGAGACCAGTTGCTGGATACCTGTCTCCCAGAGATTTTTTAGCTGGATTAGCATATAGAGTTTTTCACTGTACTCAGTATGTACGACACGGCTCAGATCCTCTCTACACACCAGAACCGTAAGTTCCTCTGTCAGCTATGGCACTAAAAATAGCTRTAGGACTAGCTATAGTCCAGTCCTCTGCTGACTGGCTTTGTAAAACACCAAATTGCATTTGCTAAGACGGAGGAGAGGCCTTCCCACGGAGGTGCAAATCAAGCTACACTGAAGTCAGTGATAAAACCCTTCGCTTTGGGCCACAGTTTAATCTAAAAGCATTTTCTTGGGCTTTATGCTTAAATGATTGTTATATTGAAGTCCTCATTTCTCTCTTTTGGGCTACATTCCCCACCTCAACTTTGTTTCACATGATACAGCACAAGCAAGTGAGAAGGTCTTGGTGTCTTGTGCAAAGAGGATGTTAGAACAAAATGGGTGATTTAGCTATGGTTTTCATGGGGCTGCATTGTAGCTTTTCCAAAACAGAGCATTTCAAGTTTTGGATGAAGTGTTTGGACTCTTGATGAAGAGTGGAAAAACATCTAAGCAGTTTTGTCTTTTGCCTTGTGTTACGTGCAGCGCGCTCTGCGTGTGGGAATGGCATTTACCCGACGGGCAGGGAGCACAGGGAGCTTCTGCCAAAGGCAGCTACTGATCCYGCAAACCCACAGGAAGGGGCTTTATGCAGTGAGTCAGGCATCAAGCCATTAGCACGAAATACTAACTGTTGCAGAGTCAGCTAGTACAATTTTGGTGGTTTTTTTTTGTGTTTTTTTTTTGTTTTTTTTTCCTTGACTAATATTTATAGAAAGGCTTTATGCCTTTTATATGTGTACAAATATAAACACATACGTATACATATATGCATACATGTATATACRTATATTTTCAGCTCCAGTCCTGTAAGCATTTGGACATATGCCTGCCCATGATTTCATGGACAGACTATTGTAGATATGCAACTACATTTTTGGGTACGAAAGGATTGGTAGAACTGTGTGTTAAGCTGTTTCCGCTCAGGCTTTAAGATACAATTCTAGCAGGAGGCTCCAGGTGGTGCTGTTGCATCTGTGTTTTTCTGCAGCGTGCAGGCAGGCAARGTCTTTGCTCAGTAAAAGATTGGGAGGCTGGCTTTGTGCTGCGTGTTTCATTTGGGAAGCTGGTGACAGTCACTCAAGTAATTCCCTCACTTCTCTCATCGCTGGAATAAAAGTTTAATCTCAGCAACTGTAAGGCAAAATTGCTAAAATGTAGAAATCCCTGTAAAAAGGGATTGGAAATGGCGTGTTGGACCTCTTCTAGTCTRTCTAGAGACCTCTAGGTATTTCAGGTAAAAAAACTATACTTAGGAAGCACCAGGCTTTGCACTAATGGTTTCATCTCWAGTGGGAAGCCAGTATCTCAGCTTACAACACCTGCTAATGCTCAGCAGAGAGAAGGTGACATTTATTAACTTAACTAACAATATATATCCATCAATTGATCAGGGATTTAGGTACCTAACACAAATGGAAACAAAGCAGGGAACCTGTTCCAGGAAGCAATAGGCTCTGTGTGTGTGCTAATGTTGTGTGGTTTGGTGCTCTGTGTGTTTGCTGTCTATTTTTCAGGGTGCTGCTTACGCTCAGCACATCATAGCTATTGTTTAATAGTAGCTGCAACTTTATTAATAAACTTTTCTGGTTATGGTGTATTACAAATCACCATAGGAGTTGAAATGGAAGGAAGATTCTTGTTCCCTATTTGTACTGAACTTAAATCCGGGTTATGGTCTCAACAGCTCTAAATAGGACTGATGTAGGAATTATATTGTCATTCCCTAATAATGTTGCTCTCTTYCTACAGACTGACTTGTTCAGAAATTATGTAAATGAAATAATATACGCTAACTGCAATGAACGCCCAAGGAATTTTTTTAAAAGCCCTTTTAAATTATGTGTAATTTTTCCTAATATACTGCCTATATAGTGASCATTAACAGAAATGCAGAGTGAAGCCCTGGCTTTGTGGCAGTCGGTGGCAAAGCTTCCACTGCCTGCAGTGGGGACGTTTCTTCATGCTGGGGAGCAGCTGTGGTGCCCTGGGGTCTCCAGGTGGTAGATGGCCACGTAACGTGGTTTGCTGCAGCCCCTGCAAYTGGGAACGTTGCATTTCAGTGATATAAACCTGACAGAAAGACTCCCACTGACTTCAATGCACTTTCCATCAGACTTAATACCCAGACTATAGAGCTGGATGTGATTAGGGAGTTCACTTTGCTACATCTCTATCACTACTTTATGCATTTAAAAACGTTTCTTCCTGGGTTTCATTATGTTGCTACTACATTCACACAACTATATAGATTTCCTCTGCTCTAATTTACTCCAAGAAAAATCTTTTGCTGTGAGAAGTGCATTACCAAAATCTTATTTTCTTTGAGCAGCGTGTGTTAAGGAACTTAATTATTTTCTGAATAAAACAAAAGAAAAGAATCAAGTCTGGTAGCTAAGCAAAAGAATTACATTGTTTAGACTATCTGTAAAGGACCAGRCTGGCAGGGAAATCTAAGAGACTCCTATGACAATCCCCATTGCTGCTTCCTGATTCTCTCTGCAAGGGTTTTCATTTGCATTGTGTTTCAAACTCACTGCTTTATAGCTACGCATTCAAAATAGTAATTTTTTTTTTTT